TTGAAGCAAGTCAAGTACAAAAAGGGTTTATTATGGACAATAGTGAGGCACATATTTTAGAAAAATTATAAAGTGCCAAGGTGAGTGCAATACATGCATGACATTATACATGGATGTTTTATACATCATCAGAAAGACTTGCGATAAGTCGACCTTGTTTATGTTGACATGATATTTATGTCATTTATCATATATTTGATATATTCTAAATATGTCAAAGGTTGAAAATAAAATGCATTGATCACTGATTTTTGCATATAATTTTTTATCATGAATGTTATTTCTGGTATGAACTGCCCAATGTTAAATATTCATAATATACTTTGCCATGGATGGATCAAATAAAATAGAATGTACGCCCAAGTAAGTCATTGAGGGACAGGGTATAGTTGGCATGCCATAGAGTCCAGCAGCAGGCTGTATATTCGGAAATACACTAAAGGATACCTAGTGTATATGGTGGGCACGACCTTATGTGTCATATTCGGGACTGTACTTAAGGATACCTAGTACAGATAGTGGACATGACCTTATGTGTCATACTCGGGATAGCACTATGGTGCTTATATTTGACTCGTGTACCCAGGGTCCTTAGGGTTGTATATTAGGCTATTGTCTGTGGTATATGGTTATGGAATAATGGCAAGTGTATTGGTAAAATAAGCTTACGAGCTTATGGTACAAATGGTAAGTATATTGGTAAAATAAGCTTACGAGCTTATGGTACAAATGGTAAGTATTTTGGTAAAATAAGCTTACGAGGTTATAGTTAATAAATGGTAAAATAGTGAATATGCAAATAAAATGATTTTATGGCAATTTGAATTTGTCATTGAAATTCATGCATGATTTTTATTGCAATGTATATTGTTTTAAATTGCCTCACTAAGTTTATACTTAGCGTGTGATGATTTTCACGCGTAGGTAAAAAGCCAATAGTGGATTAAAGAGTTAGGAATGACATCAAGCATCGAGAGGTATATTTCAATATCAGTAAGACATCCTACGATGGAATTTGAATTTAGATAGTGGCATGTAATTTGAAAATGTTCAATTTATTTGTTGAATAAATTTTGGAAATTTTTATACTGTTCATCACTATTCATAAAAAAATCTTTTGTTTTAAATTTGTTATAATGAAACCTAATTTATATGATATGATATTTTTATAATATCAATTACCATTTTAAAGAGAATAAATTTTAGATCACCTTTTGAATTGGGAAAATGGTTTTTCGAAATACGGGTGACATCCGTAATCTGTATAGGTATAAATATACGGGTTATGGGTGTTACACACTATATTTCATCATATGTTTGTATTTACCTCTTAGGATATGCTTATCATATAATATCATTCATTGCATGAGTTTTATTAGTTGCATGACATTCATTTCGTTTAATAAGTATATTATTCATTAAAGCATGCATTGCATTTAAGCATGTATTTCATTTAGGCAAGTAGTTCATTTATGCATCTAGTTATTTAATAAACTACTTCATTCATGCATTTAGTTCATTGAATAAAGTTAGTTCATTGAATAATGTTATTTCATTAATCAAACTAATTCTTATCATCCCATGCATATTTACATGTTATGATTGAATAAAGTTTATCTTTGGGTTTAGGTGCAAGAGGGAAGCTGAACAATCTTAACCGATGCAAGAATATCATTCAGAATGTATTCTAATTCTGGATGCGATACAGACATTTTTGGGTTCAGAAACCAATTGTAAATTATTCCTCTCTCTTAGCTTTTCAACGCCTTTTGAATCACCGCAATCCGATATCGGGAGCTTGAGATATGATCGAATTACCAAAGAAAGTGCAAGTTGGAATTTTCATTACGGGAATTTCATGCATGGATTATTTGGATGAGTTTGACCCAAGGAAGAGTCCTTTCATCTTCTACCAAGATACAAGCAATTGAAGGCTATCTTAATGCTTCTATTCAAAGCAATTCAAGGATTAATTCTTTTCATCTTTTCAAGGTTGTTCATATTCTTGGAGAGACAATGATTTCAATCCTTCATAATTCACCTATTCAAGTCTTATTTATCATTCTTTGAAGGCTATTCACATGTTACCAAGGAACAAGCAATGAAGGCTGATTTTATTTCATTTAATCATCAAATTAAGTGATAAAATCAGTAAGAAATTTGAAGAGACAAGCTGATTTGGACATGTAGGATGTCCACATTCATCCTATGACTTCATTTAACCTCTTTTCTTCCATTTGCAAGCAAAGCAAGGTAGCCCAAGAGTCACCCCTCCTTCTTGGACGAAATTAAGGTCATATTCAGCTTCAAATTATCTAGATTCATCCCCAAAATGATCTAGAATATTCATCCAACTTTGAACATAAGAAGACAAAGCATTCAAGTGCATTTTATTGCTAAATTGATGAGAATGTTATCATCTTTTGAGTCTTTTCATATGCTTCTTAGAAATACTATAAATAGGCACCTTTGGGATCATTTGTAGACACACAATTTGATTTATGAAAATACTTTGAAAGATTGCTTTCATTTTAGTTCTTGGATTAGAACTCTATCGGTTTCTTGTCGGTCTTGAAGCCTTCATCCATTTCATCTTGTTATAGTGTTGGTTCCTAGCTCTACTATAGCTAGTGGGTCACGTTCCACCCTCTATCACTTCGATTCCATCTTTATTATATTGTTGGTTCCTAACTCATATATAGTTAGAGGGTCACAATACATACTTTGAATTACTATCATTCTCCACGCCAACCACAAACATCCTTCACTATTTTCGTTACATTCATTCAACCACTATCACTGCCACACTTCTTTCATTTACAATCCACTTCAACTTCATTCTATCATTTCCATTATTTTCATACACATATTTATATATACATATTTCCCTTCTTATAACGTTGTTTGTACATTTTCAGTCTTCAATCAAAGCACTGTGAAGTTCTTACTAGAATCACGATCGGGCAACATTGTATATGACTCGAAACACATAACCGGGATCATATCAAATGGGCTTGAAAGTTTGACAATGAGAATAGGTCATGGTGGAAGAGGATGATATATAATATATAAAACTTAGACACCAAAATAATGGTAGTCAACAATCTTCAATTCACACAAGCTTCATGGATTTAGTTATCAATAATTGCATTAAGGATGATAAGTTTGGGGAATGCTTTCACAAATATATTCAAACTCGAATAAGGAAGGGAAAGTTATTTTGGCATGATATTTGGCTATGTGGAGTTTCCTTGAAGATTAAATTTTCAAGGTTGTTTGCTCTCTCAACCAATAAAGAATGAAGAGTTGTCGAGTTCGATACAATGGCTCTTCGAGATGGACTTGGAATATCCAAGTGAGAAAAAAATTATGCGACTCTGAACTCGATCAATTGGTAGAACTAATGTCCCTGCTCATCAATTTCATTCTTAATGTAGCAGAGAGAGACTGTTTACTCTGGACATGGAATAAGGAAGGGATTTATTCAGTAAAATCATATTATAAGATAATGAAACACATGAAGGAAGATGATTAGATCTGGAAAAATTATATTTGATTGGGGCTTGGTCCACCAAGAGTGAAGACGTTTGTTTGACAAGTGATTCATTAAAGGTTGGCGGTCAAAGCAAAGTTAATCAAACAAGGCGTCCCTAGGGTGGTTGATCTACTTTGTCCGTTGTGTAGTCTTGTTCCTGAAATTGTTTCACATTTGTTTTTATATTGCACAGTAGTTTGGGAACTTTGGAATTAATGTTTTTCAAATTTGAAAGATTTTCACTGCCTTTTTTCTGAAATATCAGCTCTCCTAGTAACCTGGGAGGATATTGTACCTCACTCTTCTATTTAGAGGCTTATCCCTGGTATTGTATTATGGTCCATATGGAAGATTAGGAATTCTATATCTTTGAAAATAGGTTTGTAGACAACACACTCTTATTCTTTATAACTAGGTTTAGACTAAAAGCATGGTACTCGGTCAAGAATCTCAATTTTTTGATTCCTTTAAACCCTTTTTATTGAAGACCCTTAGCAGACTCTTGCAAACCCATTAGACCAAAAAGGTTTCTTCTTGCGAGTTGGCTCCCTCCTCTTGATGGATTTTTTAAGTTAAATGTTGATTGAGCGGTGAACAGGCATCAAAAAGCAGGTGGTATAAGGGGATTACTAAGGGATTCTTCTAGTTGCATTTTAGATTCTTTTTCGAAAGCTACTGGACTGGGTCCTCCTACCTTAGCAGAATTGAAGGCAATTAAAGTTGGGTTATGTTTCTTCTTATTGTCAGAATGGGGATCAAAGGGTCGTTTGATTCTGGAAAACGATTGCAGGAATGCTTTAGAGTGGAATAAGAACCTTGCCTCGTATCCATCTTGATTTGAATCCATTATTAGAGAAATCAAGTCTATTATAATGAGTCAAGAGGTTTTTATTCATTTTATCCAAAGAAACGCTAATTGGGAGGTGGATGGATTAACAAAAAAAAGAGTAGCTAATGTTAGGGAATAACGTGGTCTAGTCTAGATAGTTTGATTCTTGTAATATCTTTTGAGGGTTGATTTAAACCCTTTTTCTAATAATATTTGAGGTATTTTTTCTATTTCCGCTTTTTGTCAGTTTATTTCTATGGTATATTGACATTTATGAAGGAGGTTTCAATGAGACCTCCTATTCTTATATTAGATAAAATTTTTGAATCAACTATGATATATTAGATAAAATTTCCACTTACTTTATAATAATTTAATTTAATCTTCCTCTCGAAATTAGCATTCATTGACGAGTTTATAACGTATTATAATTAGGTGACTGAAGAAAATTATCCATAGTTAGGTGATCCTGGTTAATTTACTCTAATTATACCCTAATTTGCATCGTAGTAGTAAAAAGAGATTAAAGAAACGGGGTCACCTAGATACCCAAGGGAAAGTAGAAGGTGAAAAACTACTAATTTATTTGCTCTGAATTTCCGATACAAAAATTTTATATATTTATTATGGAATTTTCGTAGCAATTTTATTTGTTAGTTTTCTGTATCTCTGGTAATTCTTGGGGGGGAATTAAAGAAGTGAGTGAAATGCTTGGTGGGCTGTACGGAGATCTTCCACCGCCGTCCGATGAGGATAACCAGCCGAGCAGTAACGCTACGGTATGGTCAAGCAGCACAAAGATGGCTCCTCCCACTCTCCGCAAGCCCTTCTCCGGCTTTGCTCTGCCTCAGACGATCCTCAGATCCCAGAACAAACCCAAGAATCCCGTTCCCAGAACCACAGCTTCACCCGTTCCCGCCTCCATCTCGCCCTCCCCCATGACGGTTGCAACCGAAGGCATGGCGCAACAGCAGCCTGCACTTGTGGGCGTCACTTCCAGTGTAATCGAAGAGTATGACCCGGCTAGGCCCAATGACTACGAGGAATACAGGAGGGAGAGGAAGAAGAAGGCTATGGAGGCGGAGATGAGGAGGGAACTGGAGAGAAGGCGGAGAGAAGAGGAGGAAAGGGAGAGGGAAAAAGAACAGAGGGAAAGAGAGAGAGAGAGAGATTTCAATGATTCAAGGTTGAATATTTCGGGCGAAGAAGCTTGGAGAAGGCGTGCAGCAATGAGTGGCGGGGTTCCAAGGTCCCCATCTCCACCGCCGGGAAAAGCTGAGGGTTTCACTATTGGGAAGACGGAGACAACTGGACTGGGAGTTGGGGCTGGCGGGCAGATGACTGCCGCCCAAAGAATGATGGCGAAAATGGGTTGGAAAGAAGGTCAGGGTCTTGGAAAACAGGAGCAAGGGATTACTACACCATTGATGGCCAAAAAGACTGATAGGAGAGCTGGTGTTATTGTGAATGCCAGTGAGACTCCCAAGTCTGATAAGAAGGTTAAGAGTGTTAGCTTCAATGGCCCCCCTACTCGTGTTTTGCTGCTTAGGAACATGGTAATGCCCATTTGCTCATCTTCATTCCTTTCTCTTCTCCTTTGAATCCTTGTTTTACATACAATACCATATCCGGTTGCAATTTAAAGTTCACTGCTCAAAGGTGTTTTCTAGCTATGTTAACTCAGCTACGTGCATGTTGAGCAAAATTAAGACTCAGAGTAACATATATTTCTAGTATATCCTACTTGTTTATTGCAGCTCTTGATGTTTTCTTATGCTTGCAGTTATTGGTTATGGTGAATGAACTATAAAAGTCTATAGGTTCATTCCTTCTGTTATTTGTAGAGCCCTAGAGAATAAGTAGCCCATTAACCGTGTTCAAATGTGTAGACTGTAGGATATGAATATTTTGAGAAAAATGAAGAGTCAGCATAACATAGCTTTCTAGCATATCCTTTTGATGCTTTCTGTTGCTTGCAGTTTTTGATGATGCCTTTGATTACTGTGACTGAACTGTAAATTTCTTGAGTCTCCTTGGAGTTTTGTCCTTGTTTACTTTCACTTCATTGCTCAAAGTGCGTTTCCTAGCTATGTTACTCAGACTCAGGTTTAAATGTCGAACTTAAATTCAAACTTCTCAAGATTTTCATGTATTTGGAGTGTCCTGGAAAATAATATCCTCAAACCATTTCCAATATATGTAGATACGAGTATTTCAAGAAAAATGAAGAATTGGAGTAACATAGCTCAAAGTTGCTATTATACAATTTTGACTTGACTGGTAACTATGCTACTTCAACTTTTCTTCAAAATGTGTGTTAGTTACCTTTGTCCGACGCATCTGGACATGGATATGAGGATCTCCCAAATACATGGAAATCTCAAGAAAACGAAAATTGAACATATCTGTGTAACAGTCAAATCCTAGTAAACATAGACTTGAACTCTGGTGTTGAAATATTGCTATAAAATGCTGTCTTTGGTCATAAGTGGTGCTTAGCACGTTATATCTATTCTATCATCATTTTCCCTGTATGGCTTTTATTGCATGCCGCATTGCACTAACTACAGAACATTTCTTGTTCCAATCCGATCTACTTTCAATTATATACCTCCCATAGCCTCTCCTAACAAAAGACTGCATGAGGAGGAAGATCAAGTGTTTCTTTTTCTTTTCTTTTGGTTTTAAGTCCTGTAACTTGGGTTGTCCTATTTGTAACTGTGTTGTGGAACAAGCATTGCATCTGTAATTATGGATGAAATAGTTTACTGAATTTAGTTAAAAGAATTGTAAAATCTGAATGAATAGCAGATCCTATTTGGTTCTTATTGTTAACTGCAGAAGGGTTTTTTTTTTTTTTTTGGAAAAGCAAATTGATTATTCTTTACCAAACTACGGGGAATTATTGTAAGGTTTATAAATTTGATGAGTAGCTTGCATTGCATTGAATCATATTAGTAAGATAAAAAGGTAGCCTATTTGTATGATTTAGTAGAATGCTAATATTGTCAGTTGCATACATGGTGTTGTCTACTTATTGTTTATGTTCGTTGTGGATTCACTGGTTTCATTTGTAATTCAGTGCTACTTATGTTTTATTTGATCTTTTTTTTTTATTCCTTGTCATTTTGAACTATGTTTGCTTCAGTTTTTTGTTTTTATATATCCACGTATGACACCCATGTTTGGCATAGACATGAATATGGGAATATGATCCATCTATTGATACATACACAACACCTAAGTTCGAGTAACATAGTTGTTGAATGCTTTTGAGCTATTCATGAAATTATTATTTGTCTAGGCATTCTTGATCACTGTTTATATATTGAAATTTGTGTTCTTAAAAATAAATGTTAAAGAGGGAAACAGTGGCTATTGATATTTATTTGTCGTCCTGATGACTGCAATCAATGATGGTGAGAGTGGCTAACTATTAACTTTTTGAAGGTTGGTCCTGGTGAGGTAGATGATGAACTAGAAGACGAAGTTGGATCTGAGTGTGCCAAGTATGGAACCGTTACCCGTGTTCTGATATTTGAGATAACAGAGCCAAATTTCCCAGCTGATGAGGCCGTCAGAATCTTTATTCAGTTCGAGAGATCAGAGGAAACAACTAAAGCATTAGTTGACCTCGACGGCCGTTTCTTTGGGGGTAGGGTTGTTAAAGCCTCATTTTATGATGAAGAGAGATTTAGTAAGAATGAGCTAGCTCCCATGCCGGGTGAAATTCCAGGTTTCTCTTGATGCTCTAAATTTTATGCCGAGCAGGTGGCATTGATAATCAATGGGGAAAACCGTAGATTTCCAGTTTACGTAATAGCAGTATGAGGGTCTCAAATCAGAGTTGATATATCTTGATGATGTGAAGTAGCATTCAAGCTTTGAATTGGGTCGAGTTTCGTATCTCATACGGAATGCTTGTGGTGCTAATTCCCAGCATTTTGCATGGTCTGATCATAAATTATTGTTTGTGTTCCATTAGAGCTATGCTTTGCCTTTTGCAGTTGACTTTTACTAAAACAAAACTGAGTTTGGGCAAATGAAGGTTTTTTAGGTATTTGATTCTTACAAAATTCATTATAAAATAATAATAAGTTATTGCAATTATTGTAATGTTTTCTTATTACAAAATACATTAGTAAACAAAAGAAAATGGGCAAGTACATGAAGCATGATGCCTTGCGAAATCCTTGATGTTCAAAAGAAGAAAAATTATAAACTATTTTTACCATTATTATCATAATTTTATGTTTCATTACTGTTATTTTATTATGGACACTAATTGGCAGAAGCAACGAGCTCGTAATAAACATGGTGGTGATCAGTTTTGATTCGACAATTGTGGGGCTTCCTCCGAAGTCTGTCTTTCTCGAGTTCAAGCAGCTTGGCAGGCAGTACACAAATGGAGCTGCTCTTGACAAGATCAACGCTGTTGGGATTGCGTTAAAGGATTGGCAAAAAGAATGAGCATCGTCATCGCGTGACCGTATTGCTGCTGATCTTCTCTAACAATGGTCTATCAAGGGACATGGTCGACTAGATATGAATATGTTTCTAGACTCCAAACGTGAACTCCAACAGCTTCTTGATAACGAAAAAAAGCTACTGGGCACAACGGTCAAGAGTCAATTAGCAATCGCAATACTGCGTTTTTTAATGTTTGGTCGAGTCAAAAGACAAAAGAAGAATAAAATCTAATGTCTATATAATGCACGCGGATTATGGACTGAAAAGCATGATGATCTTGAGGATATAGTGGTAGGCTATTTCCAAGAGCTTTTTACCTCTTCCAAAGTGGTTCCTGGTCAGCATATTTTAAATGCTATAGACTGTTGTTTCGAAGGATATGAATATGGAATTGTCTAAACCGTTTACAAAGGACCAAGTTCTTCACGCGTTTAAGGATATAAATCCTAGGAAAGCGTCGGGGTTTGACGGACTACCGGGCAGCTTCTATAGGTTACACTAGTCTCTTTTTGGTGATGACGTGATAAGCCTGTGTTTAGACCTACTTCATGGTAAAATGGACACGTCCCTTGTGAATAAGACAATCCTATTACTCATCCCAAAAATCGAGCAACCTAAGCATATGAAACAAATTCGAGCTCAGTTTATATATGGTGGTTTATAAAATTATTTGTAAGGTATTAGTCAATCGCCTTAAGCCTTAATGGCCACATGCATAAGCGACAAGTAAGTAACATTCCTATATGGAAGACAAATAGCAGACAACATTTTAGTGACCCATGAAATAGTGCACTATCTGAACTCTTCCAAAAATGGTATTAATAAGGTGCAGCTATGTAGCTAGATATTGAGAAGGTCTATGACAAAGTGGAATGTGTTTTTCTTAAAAGTGTAATGTTGAAGCTAGGGATCCATGAATAGTTTGTGGACTTGATTATGACTTGTGGCACTTCTGTATCCTTCCAAGCTCATGTTAATGGTTCTTTAATCGGAGAAATTCGGCCTAGTCGTGAACTTCGACAGGATGATCCTTTATCACCATTTCTTTTTCTTTTGGTAACACAATGTCTTTCAGCTTTATTTCACAAAGCACAACTGGTGGGAGATATTAAAGGCATTCGTGTATGTCAAAATGGACCACGTATCTCACATCAACTATTTACAGATGATAGTCTAGTTAGTGGTGTAAAAAACTGACCCGACCTGTAAAACTGACTGAAACCGACTCGAGTTAAAACTGTTTTTGACCTGCGCTGTAACGATCCGAAACCGACTTGAGTCAGAACTGGTGTTAACCTGAACCCGAGTTGGACCTGGAAATTGTGGATCTGAACCCGACCTGCATCTGACCTGAGAACAACATGAACCCGAATTGAACCGAAAATATGATATCCGAACTACATCCGACTGATATGAATCCGAACCCGAGATTGACCTGGTAAATAACTGGTATTACCCGACCTGTTTTTAAACTGACTTGTTATGAACCTGACATGTAATTGACTCAACATGTAAATGATCCGACATGTTAAAGTGATATGATATTATCCTGACTTATAAGTGAAGTTACAATTAATATAATTATGTTATTTTAAATTTATAATAAAATTATGATAATTAAATTATTATGATAATTAAATTAATATGATTACTCTTTGAAATTTTATCATAAATTATTATGATAATCAAATTAATATGATTACTTTTTTGAAATTTAATTTTATATTAATTATAATTTGTTTATTATAAATTTGATTTTTATGTTAATTCCAATTCATAAATTTCTTACTATTTCTTATATTATAAATTTTATTTCAAATCACTAAATTAAATTTAAATATTATCTTATTAAACTTGATTTTATTAAATTATATTAACTAAGTTAAAATATTCATAAATCTAATTTACTTTTAATGTGAAAATTGAATAATAATTTAAGAAAACTTAACTTGATATTTTAAAATCAAAATATATTAATTGAAATAGACTTATTAAATATTAAAAACTTGAATAACATTACAAATACTAAATAAATATTTATAAATAATATAATTTTATTACACTTGAAAACACAAATTACAATAAAATCAACTAAACAAAATAAATGTATGTTGAAATAAATGCTTTTAGATCTTATAGCTAATGTTTACAAGGCTAAAAAGCCTAACTATACTACAAGAAATATCTTCATCAAGCATATACCTAAATGATGCCAACATATTTAATTATGGGCAACTTTCTAGCTTTAAAAGCCAAAATGCCACCAACATAATTAAACATGAGTAACTATTTATATAAGAATTTATAAGGTTCTAAAACTGATTTAAATCAACCCAACAACAATAATTTACAAGGCATCAGTGAGTAATAGACAGCAGCGAGTAATAGACAGCAACAATCAACAAGAATCAATGTACCAATTCAGCAAGCAGTGTTGCATCGATTCAACAAGTATCCTGCATTAAGAAAGCATACAATCAGTGGTAAAGTCAAAGGGAATTCAATGGCCAACAGTGCCAAACATTTTCGACTTTACCGAACCCTTACAATTCAAACATAAAGCATGCATTGAGATTCAACAAATAAAAACCACATAGGATATTGAGAAGCAACTAGAAACATACTCGAGATTAAGGACTAAATGAGCTCACATCTAAGCCAGAACAACCCCACAAGCTGAGTTTCTTTAGTCGACTGTGTTTGATGATAAGCTTCTGGTACATAAGGTGCAGTTTATTGTTCAATACATTTGGAACTTCACTGTCAGAATTTTGATCAGAAGGTGGATTCTGAGAATCAAGATCGCATATTGTTATCCCACAATCCATAAGTTCAAGAAGAGGTAGTTGAGCCGTGGCAAACTGAATTCCACCTGAGAATTCCACCCAATTCATCTCTATAAATAAAACATTAATCAAAGTAAATCAGAAACACTTACTCTGCCATTTATGTAGCAGGAAATAAAACACTTTGCATTCTTATGACAACATGGAGTTCTAGATCAATAAATCCAAAAGAGGGTATACACAACTTTACAAATTTTTCATCTTTACAATAACATCTCAAATTAAAGGTAGGAAAAAGGTTAACCAGGACCGATCAACTAGATACGTCTATGCATTTCACCTTAACTTCAACCTTTCAGTCACTCAAACCTTCCAATTACTTTAGCAGTCAAAATACCGGTCAGTTTCAATCAATGAGCTACATATCTAAACCATTTCCTTGCACCAACAATCAAATAATAACAGTAGTAACAAAGTTTATTAATTGAACAACTAGACATATTATTTTAAAGATCTAATGATAAATTGCAATGATAAGGGGGAAAGAATAGAAAATATACCCTGTGATCCTATTGACAGTCATCATTCTGAACACATTAAGCGAGTCCTCTCCATGCCCATTTTGAGCAAACCCGGTTAATAATGTGTTCCATGAAACAACATCCTTCTCATGTATCCTTTCAAACAGTAATTTAGCAGAGTTCATGTCTCAGCACTTACAGTACATGTCGATTAAAGCATTAAATACAAACAGGTTCAACAAATCACCTTTGCTGCCAACTCTAACTATGTGCGTATGGATCTGTTTACCTCTCTCAATAAGTGCTAAATCTGCACAAGCACTATATTGTCAAGGAATTAAGAACAAATCGTTTTGGCAATATTATGTGATCCCAGACGAATCTTTCCTTGAGCATAAGTAAAGATAGTGACGGATTCAAAAATATTTTTGTGGGTACATAGATATTATTCACATAAATTTTTTGTACACGGGTGGGTGCAGGGGAAGCATAATCAGTAAAATAAGCAACTAACAGAAATAATTCGAATTTCGGTGCACATGGTGGATCCACCGCCGAGTAAAGACATACTTGAACTTGCAACTGAAGCGACTTCAAGTACTCAATTGTTTCATCCAGCATTGAAGCTTTATCTGACTGAGATTCAGAAATATACAATATGTTAATAAAAGCAGAGAGAGAAATATCCAAATTAAATCAGTAATAACAAGTCTTCAATAGTTATCGACCTTGTTGCAGAGAGGTATGAGTTCTTGCAAAGCCCTCATCTTTTCATTTATGCGATCTCTGCGTCTCTGCACACATATACCATGTAATTATACGCGGAAGAAGAATAAGAACAAATTCATCAACGCAACTATAGTAAATGTCAATAATAAGATACTGACCCTCTCGGAGAGGTTATGGACCTCCGCAGCACGGGTCCTTTTTGTAGATGTGGATCCACGATTTTGTTTCTTTGTGTCTTAGGATTCAAACTCAACATCCTTTGGCAACAATAAAATCTCGGAATAACGATTATTGAATTTTGATACAAATAAAAATATATGTAACGAAAATAATTATATATATTGAAGTATGTCTTCTTCTATTCGAATAATCTGAATCTATCTCTTATTTAACTTTTCACATCGTATCATTTATGATCTCAAATCTCAATAACTAAAAATTACTCGCCTAGTCATCTTACTCTTTTCCCTCTGTATCACTAGTAACTTTTAATATATGGTCAAGGAACACGAGTACCGATTCCTTGTAAAACCCGTGCTGGGAAAACCCAGAAATCAGTGAATTATAACTAACAAGGTTTCTCCTCGGCATTTGATCGAACAACTTGCAAGCCCTATCAAAGTGGCCACGTTGTAAATACCCAGAGATAAGAATGTTCCAAGAATAGCTGTTTTCTTCCTTGTCCTACCTACTTAACCGCTAAAGGATAGTCTTTTTAGGCGAAATCTTAGAAGCATGCGAAGCCATGGACTCCAAATTAGGACAAGAGAACGCAATATATATTAACGTCACATTTTAGCAAAAATACCTGTGAAAGAAGAATTTTCATTCAGCTCACTCATTGAAGGAGTTCTCTCAACGGCATGAACCTGATATAGCACAGACAGACTTTAGAAAAAAACGACTTAAATTTGGATCTATAATGCAATATATATTTTACAGGGAAAAGAAACAGAAATTAAATTGACAAACGGATCGATGAATTAAGGGGAAAACTAAACCCAAATTTAACAAAGAGATAAGGAGAACATAAAGGGTTCGGCAAACGGAAACAACAATGAAAGAGGGAAAACGAGAGAAAAGGGAGAGATTTTGGATGCTGATCGGGGAAGAAGAGAGACCGAAAATAAAGGAGGGAGGGTTTGGCCGGGAAGAGACGGGAGAAAAGGGAGAGATTTTGGCGCCTGTTTTCAATACATATCCCTATAAAATTTATATTAATAAACTATTTATAATTAATATTAAAATAATTATATATTATAATTAGTATTAATACTAATATAAAATATAGTCTATAAAATTAATATTAATATAAACTATATGTTATAAATTATATAGTATAGTTTATAAACTATATACTATATTAATATAAATTATAGTTACAATAATTAACATTAATATAAACTATATAGTATATTAATATAAACTATAGTTTATAAATTATATACTATAGGTTATAAAGTATAAACTATATAGTACATTAATATGAGTAATTGTTTATAAACTATAGGTTACATATACAGTTTATATAACATATAAATAGATTGTATATATACATATACTATAGGTTATATATATATAGTTTGTATATACATAGTTTATACATACATGTACTATAAGTTACATATATAGTTTACATGTATACATATACTATAGGTGACATATATTAACTATTGTTTATGCATATTGTTTAGGGTTTAGGGTTTAAAGATTATAATTTAGGATTTAGGGTTTTATAAATTATATATTTATTATTTTATATAGTTTATGCATAGTGTTTCTGTAATATATATATATATATATATATATATACATTCTATATATTACTTATATTAGTTATGACAACATGGAATATACTATATTAATATAAATTATAATTTATAAACTACATATTTTATATAGTTTATACATTTATAGTTTATATACATACATACATACATACATACATATATACATATATACATACATACATACATACATATATATATACTATATTAATATAAATTATATTTTATAAACTATATACTTTTTATAGTTTATATAATTAGTATAAAATATAGTATATAAATATATATAGTATATAAATATAAACTATAATTTATATATATAGTATATACTATATAAAGAGTTTATATAGTTCACTAATAAGCTATATATAGATCATATGTAAAATATATACTTTACATAGTTTATATATATAGTTTATATAGTTTATACATATAGTATAAGTTAGTTTATATTGTTTATATATAGTTTAAATACTACTATATATAAACTATATAATTTATATATGTCGGAACAGTCTTTCGGTTGGGCTCGGAATCGGGCTTAAACGTGAGTGAATTGGGGAGAGTCGCCACCGATCATTTATTTAAAAGTAAATTGGGTGACCAGATACCTTATTTCTTACCTGACCTGCGTCTTACCAGTTATGTGTCGGATTCGAGAGTCGGTTACAGTCAAGGAAGAGTTAGCACCCTTGAACTACCCTTTCGGTACTATGTAATTTCCAGTTGTCCTTAGTTAAGAAAAATGTAACTTTAAAGTAAAAGGTAAAATGACGATCCAAATTATTTACCTTTGATTGATTGAAAAGTACCTTTAAAAGTAAAAAAAATGTGTAAAGAAGAAAAAAAAATGAAAATAAATAATGAAGAAAATACAAAAACGAATGGAATAAAGGAAGTAATATAACATAAAGAAAATACATGAAATAAAAAAGTAAAGGTAAAAATGAATATAACCAATGTATAAAGAATGTATATAATATGTAATAATGTAAAAAAAATATTACATAGAAAAAATATATAAACAATAAAAATAATAAAATAAATATATATACGTACGAACTAAATAAATAAAAGTGAAAAAAGTAAAAATCGGTAAAAAGATAGATATAGAGAAAATAAAACAATAAAAAATATATAAAGATACATATTAATATGGAATGAAATAAATAAATTAAGGAAGAAAAATATATATATAATAAATAAATAAATAAAAAGTATATACATAGAATGATGGTAATAATAATAAAAAGGTAAAAAATGGGAAATAATAATACATATATACATACGTTAATAGTAATAGCTAAAAAATATATACATATATAATAAAAAATAAAAAACGTATGCAAAATATATATATATATATAAGGGAATAAAATATAATAATGAAAATATGATATATAATAATAGTAAGGATTAGATTAAAACAGAAGCAAAGTTAACGGGTAAATTAAAAAGGAATCAAATTTGGTTTGGGGCAAAATTGAACACTTTTAAAACAACGGGACCGAAACAGGATTTATCCATTTTAGTGGTAAAAACACGCGGGCTTGCTGATGGATCAGGTTAACGGGCCGTATAAAGGCTAAAATTTGGCCTAAAATTTTCATTTCCATCATTTTGTAAACCAAAGCCCCCCTCCTCTCATCTTTCTCTCTGCCTTGTTCTTCAGAAATGAAGAACACCAGCCAAAATTCCCAGAAACTGACCATTGGCCACCTTGCCGGCCACCGTTGATCGGCGCTGGTCGCCGTTCGGCGCCGATCAACGGTGGCGAACCTCAAAAAAAAATTGATTTTTTAAAAGCTTTTCCTTTCCTCGATTAAAATATCCGAGTAATTTTTCAAAAACGGCCTCAGGGTTGCGTAGATCTAGCAAAATAGCTTTGAAAGCAACCCTCTTGGTCCTCGGCCGAACACTCATATGAGTGATTCCGAGTCAAAGACACGACAATAACCAACATGCAAGCATAAAAACAAACAAAGGTATGAACTTTACCTTCTTATTCTTTTCGAAAATTTAAAAATGCTTCGACTTTACTCTAATATTGCTCGTGTTTTGTGTAATTTGTGCTTGTATTTCGTATGAAAAATTGTGTGTTACAAACAAATGGATTACATGTATTTATAGCCTTAGATTCGGCTATTTTTTAGAGTCTGATTTGGACTAAACTACTCTTATTTTAGCATTTGATTCCTACTAAAACACTGCTTGCTAATGGGTTTGTTATTCATGGCCGAGAATCTCGATTGTTGGAGGCGAGACGTACGGCGTTGGGGCTTGCTTGGTGCTGCGTGAGGATCTCTCGAGAGAACGGTGCCGTGGAGCAAAGGTTGCTAGGCTCTATAAACCCTAGAGGGGTCTGTTGTGGACCGTTGGATCACACCATGATACAACGGTAAGGTGCTTGGCGGCTGGATGAGAGGTTGAGAGATTAGGGTTTACACAAGCCCTAATCCATACTGGTTTGGGTTTGGGCCATTACTGTTGGGCCTGTAACAGAAATTCAAAAATGTAAATAAACCATATATATATTATAATTTATAACATTATATAATATTATATATATGTATGTATTATGATGGACGAATTTAAGTGTCTTCAGCTGCCCCTCTTTGCTCATTATTGTGTTACGAAAATAGAGCAAAGATTAAAAGACACAAATTCTGTCCTTATCGAATGCCCTCCGTCGTAGAGTTAAAATTCGACATTGAGACTGATTTGTTGATTTAGGTTGAATCCCGAAATAACTCCCTCGTCGTGAGGTTGAGTTGATCTGGAAAATTCTGAGCGCGATATCATTCGTCGTGAAGTTGAAACCGAGCTCAAAGCTTTGACCAGCAGCTTCTGGATCGTCTTCTAGCTTAAGATACTTCGTCGTGAAAGTGAAACTTATCTTGAAGACTTTGGTGTTGTGGTGTTATGGATGACTCCTTCATCGTGAAGTTGGGTCAATCTGTTTGTGAAGTTGGAATTGCATATGGCTCCTTCGTCGTGAAGTTGACCTGAGAATTGGATATCCTTCATCGTGAAGTTAAAATCCAATCTAGAGATGGATGCCGCTTGTGTGCACGATTCCCTTCATCGTGAAGTTGAAACTGCGGGTGGCCCCTTCGTCGTGAAGTTGATCATGAGAATTGGATTTCCTTCGTCGTGAAGTTGAAATCCAAGTATTGTTCCGAATCTAATATCCTCAACTGTGAAGTTGAAATTGGTTCTGGAACTGGGAAATTGTTTGTTGACAGTCAGCCCCCCCTTCACCATGAAGTTGAGCTTGTGTTGTCTTGAGTCCAATGTCCTTCGCTGTGAAGTTGAAATTGGATCTGAAACTGGGGAATTATTTGTTGACAGTCAGCCGCCCCTTCGCTGTGAAGTTGAGCTTGTGCTGTCTTGAGTCTAATATCCTGAGTTGAAATTGACTCTGAAAGTTATTTGTAGATAATCAGCCGCCCCTTCGTCGTGAAGTTGAGCTTGTGTTATCTTGGGACCAATATCCTTCGCTGTGAAGTTGAAATTGGTTCTGAAATTAGGAAATTATTTGTTGAAAGTCAGCCGCCCCTTCGCTGTGAAGTTGAGCTTGTGCTATCTTGAGTCCAATATCCTTCGTTGTGAAGTTGCAATTGGCTCTGAAATTGGGAAGCCCCTTCGTCGTGAAGTTGAGCCCCGAATGGCACGATATCCTCCGTCGTGGAGTTGAAATCGCGGATGGGCGGGTACGATTCCCTTCGTCGTGAAGTTGAAACTGCGGATGGCCCCTTCGTCGTGAAGTTGAGTCTTGACTTGAATATCCTTCGTCGTGAAGTTAAAATCCAAGTATTGTATGTTGCAGGTGGACACGATTCCCTTCGCCGTGAAGTTGAAACCGTGGATGACCTTTTTATTGTGAAGTTTGGCTTCGAGTTAGATATCCTCCGTCGTGAAGTTGAAATCTACTCACGAACAAATTGTGTCGCTTCGAGTTCAATATCCTCCGCTGTGAAGTTGAAATTGACTCTAGCTAAAACCTGAAAAAGTTATGCATATATGTGATGCTATGAATGCAATGCTCTTAGGTGTGCCTAAAATGCAAATGTAACATATGTTATCTTGGGGCTCTGGAGAGAAATCTCGATCTCCGGTTGCCTGTCTAGAATCTTGATTCTGGAATCTTGAAATTCCGATCCCTGGTCTTGATTTCTTCAAATGTTGAAATTTGATGTGCACATTTTATTTTTGATTTGGGAAATGCTTCTCGACCATCTCAAGTATGTGCATAAGTCTCGATCGACTTTCGAGTACCTGTACTTTTCAATGAATCTTTGTACAGTAATATGCGATTATCTTTTGCATAAGTAAATAAATCATTAAGTTTAAGCTCAATCCAGATGCTCAAAAGGAATTGGTT